TAAAGATAACAATAAGATAAATATAGAAAAATAGATAATACGAGAAAGAAAAAGAGAAAAATAGAAAGAAATAGAAGGGAGTAGAATATTATCGAACCAATTACGTAGTCTAAATATCATTGTGACTAATTTTATCGTGCTGTATCTTTTGTTCACGTGTTCTTTTGAATTTATAGTTGATATCAAATCGGTAACAATATAATTTTTTATGAGCTTGTATTTGATAGTAATTACCCCTCATCCCACTCACCCATCCATCCACCATACACAAAATAAAGCAAGCAACGACCACCTTACAATATTTTGATTGTTTACATTTTTCTTTGCATATATATGACACGTGTGACTCGCCAATTGGATCAAATAAATCCGGATATATATGGATTGGCTCAATCCGGATTGCACTACCCGGCTTTAGTGTTCCCCCTTATTTGGAAATGATAATTCAAAAAATTCAGCGGTGGCGCAGTATTTGATGTGACAAAGCCGTTAAAATAAATCTATTTATTATAAAGAAATCGAAGTTGATAATTTTGTTCAAAATGAATTTGCAACATTAGTAATACTTGAAATATGGCTTTCGTCTTTAAAGGATAAAAGAAGTAAGATTCTAACTCGAAATTGAATCGGTTAATAGAATGTTAGAGCACAGCTTCACACGGTCGTAAATATTTTTGAAACTTAGTGTTTCAGTTAATCGTTAAAAAAAGTTCTAAATAATAAATTTTTTTCTTAATATTTAAGTTTAAAGATACATAAACCAAAAAGTTTTACACCAGAACGATTTTAACGAAATTAAGATATAGTAGGTCATGGTTAGCTGTGGTCCAAGCCAGTCCGTTTAATAAACAGCTCCATTTCAGCTGGACCGAGCTGCCAGTTCAGCAATACTATGAGCATGTTTTAAAGAGACTTAATTACTTAATTAACAGGGTTTTCCTTGGTATAATGCCTAAATCATTTATATTTTTATCAAATATCGATATCATTTATCTTAATATTAAATAGTGATATTTACTATCGCTATGTTGATTAAGTAGTAATATTTACTATATTTATTATAACAATAAATAAAGTTATTCACATTGAATTAGCCACGGCTCTAATTGTTTTACGAAAATTGAAAAGCTGAAGTCATTTGACATCTCTAGTTCAAATAATTCTTTTGGCAGCAGAAAGAATTGATAACGATACAAGTTTTGTTAGACGGATAAAATCGAAAAACTAGCTAATCTGATTACAAACCTCGATTATAATGATGATTTTGTTTTAATCAGAAGCGAATTTATTGAATGGACTACTGCTTTGCTAGAGTCGTAATACGGAAAGTTCGATAAGTTCAAAGTTGTCTTAATCAAGAGTTCAGTCCCGAAATACATTTGGTTATTGTAAAACTTGAACAGAAAATACCGGATTGGTGTTTTACACCTAGCCACGCGTAACCCAACTAAAAAGAGATCATCCAATGGAAAACTATAAAGTACATACACGTCCAATTCTTTAAAGAAAATACCGCATTTATTAATTTGCAATAATGAATAAGTGGCGAGTAGGGATTCAAAAAGCTACCATCCAAGCAGTCTGCAATTATCAATACACTTTTTCTCCCGACGCAGATAATAAAGTTGTACATCTTGACCGAAACAGCATTGACGCTGAACTTCGCAAGGTAAAACTTTATCGTGATGGTTCAGCTTTACGACGAGAGGCTGTCAAGGAAAAGCAAGAAACACCCGTCATAAGTGTAGTTGATGGCGATTGCCTGATTGAAGCATTATCTTTGAAAAAGCAAGGATTCAACCCTTTGGTATTGAATATGGCTAGTGCTACTAACCCAGGTGGAGGTATGTTGATTTATTTCCGAGTCTATTAGTTTTCATACTTCTGAACTACGATAATCACCAAGGTTTACTCAACAAGGATATAAATCAGGAGCTGGAGCTCAAGAAGAGAATTTATTTCGTAGAACAAATCTTTTTCAATATCATGAACCGAAACGCAACGAATGGTATCCAATACCGGAATATGGAGGGATATATTGTCCGAATGCGAGTGTTATACGTGCCAGTGAGCAAGAAGCGTATGAATGGCTGGAAGTTCCGGAAACCATGTCGTTTGTGGTAATATGAAATACTTCTTCTTTCGCCAATCATGTTTTTATACTAAAATAAATGTGTAAATGTTATCAGGCTGTAGCTGCCATAAAAAAGCCTAGAACAGTAAAAAATACTAAGGGAGATTTAACGTTAACTGAAGAGGGTAAAGTAAAGACACGGAAGAAGATCAGAGCTATACTTAATATTGGATTGGATAATGGTATTTATCGAGCATCCTTTTCTGTTTCGTGAAAGATGATTAATATTAAAATATCGTTTCTTTTTGAAGGTCATGATGCAATTGTCTTGAGTGCATTTGGATGTGGAGCATTTTCAAATCCTCCGAAAGCGATGGCACAGCTCTTTTATGAAGTTTTATCTAATGAATACGCAGGTGGTGGTGAAAACATGCCAAAAACTTTTCAACATATTTCTTTTGCAATTTTCGATGATAAAAATGCAAGTAGACAACATAATCCTGAAGGTAATCTTTTTCCATTTGAACAAAGATTTGCTAATGGATTAGCAATTGGTGGAGTTAAATTGGTCAATGACACGGCTACAATGAACAATCGATTAGGACAGCGAAATGCTTCCTCATCGTCATCATCTACCAGAGAACAACATGGGAATGAAAATAAGGGACGTTTCTCCTCTTCCTCTTCATCATCAAATAATCGAAACTCGGATTTCAAACGACGATTCGATGAAAAGAGTATTGATCCCTCGAAATCACAAAATTCGACTAGAGGTAAAGGAGGTGGAACTATGCGACAAACAACATTACATGCATGGTATCAACCACCATTAACCCTGGTCCAGAAATTAGTTGATATGGGATTTGCAGAGCCGGATGCGCAACGAGCATTAAAAAGAACCAGAGGAAAAATCGAAGAAGCGCTTGAGTTATTATCAGAGACAAAAAATGAACATAAAGAAGAATCAATAACTCAAATAAACACTGACGAACAATCAATCAAATTAAATAACAAGAGTATGGAAGAAAATAAAACAACTGAAGAAAAATTGACGAATGAAATGGATATCGAAATGAATGGTGATAATCAGTCATGAGATTTTGAATCATTACCCAAATTTGAGAAAAAATAAAAATTCTTGAAAAGTGCAAATTTATCATGATTATTAAATAAAGAAATTATGTTCTATGTTACAAAGTTTTCTCGTATGAACTAAACTTTAAATTGTAAAAAAATCACAAAAACATGCTATCATCTCAGTCAATAAAATGAATGTTCCGAAAAATACATTATATGAATATACGTGCTTTTTATTTCCATATCTTTTTAACTTCGGCTTCAACTTTTTTCACTTGATCGTTAAGGGTATGTCTTATATCAGACATGGCCTCATCAATTTTGTTTTTTGACTCTTCGGTTGTTTGAGAGATGGATTTATGGATATTTACCAATGCTGGTGATTGTTGCTCGTATTCAAAAAGTTTTCTTGCAATATTACGTGATGTTATTGGCAAGAAATAGTAAGAAGCTGCGATAGTGAATACTATTGGGGTTGTTAGGCGCAAAAATGCACCACCTGAATGTAATGGCAATAATTCTTAATCGCTGATAGATAAATTAAAAGAGAATATAATTTTTGCATTCTTACGATTTTTAGCTAGCACAGAGCCTGCAAGACCGGCAACTCCAACATACAAAACTTCAGGTATCAATCGCTCTTTAGGTGACACAACATCATTAATCGCTCCTTTATTGTGAAAGTTATAAGCAGAAAAAAATGAGCATAGTGAAAGAAAAAGTATTTTTCATAAAAATCAAAAATCATTTACTTTCAGTCTTCTGTTCAATTGAAATCCAACGATCCGATACTTGTCTGAATTGATTCTACAGAAAATACAATAAACATCATCGTTTATGACACAATAAACGTGATTTTCTAGTTGCCAACCTCGGTATCTTCCAAAGCTTTTTTTGCTTTAAACCTGGTTTGCCTTATAGTCTCCTCTATTTTAGTAGGTGTCTCCACGACCACTATTTCTGGTCTTGGATCATCGTATATATTTAACTAAAAAATATCAATGATTGTTAGATTTATAGAAATTTTTGGATTGGATAAAAAATACGATATTTTCGCGAACCTTTAAGTAATTTTTTATATTATGTTTATTATTATTACTATTATTATTATTATTTTTATTATTATCTGCTTCAGCTAATATAGGCTGTTTGAGTGTTATCGGTGTCAGTAAGGCCAGCCCTACTATAGTGCAATTTGCTATAGCTGACCAAGAGGATAATAACGACCTTGTTTCAAACTAAAAAACAAATTATTGAATATACATAATATCTTCGACATAGCATTCAATTTACCTTTTTCTTCGACAATAATCCAAATGAATGCGAAAAGTTCATTTTTATTTTTTTGGATGAGTCAAATGTCAAGTGATTAAAATTTTTAATATCTTGTTGATCCTATGAAAACTTTTCCAGAATGGCAACGCAAGGACCACCAAAGCCGAAAAACAAGAAAAAAACTCTTGCACTCAAAGAAGACCAATTGGATGCTGACCTTGTGGGCAACGTAATTGCGCAACTAAAGTCGGTTGACGGTGAAACTTCTGGTCCTCCGCTCAGTTTACCGGCTAATGTTACTCCCGAGCAACTTTTACTTTTGATAAACGAGCTTTTAAACAATGTAAAACTTGTTCAAAAAATTTTGCATGTTCAGAAATTTTTTAAACTAACATTTAGTATCGATGTAATTCATAGGAAGAGCCACTTCCATATGTTTTTTCGGTTGACGACAAGGAAATATCCACGACCCTATACCAAGACATTATTCAAGGCTTAAAAAAGTCAACAGAAGATGTTTTAACGATTGTATATCGACCTCAGGCGATCTTTAGAGTACGGGCTGTAACCAGGTGCAGCTCTACTTTGAGTGGTATAACATTATAGAGACGCATTTTTGAATTACTAGAAAATAATTGGATCGATTGGTTTATTTGCTTTATTTCGATGCTTTTTAGGTCATTCTGAGGCTATTTTAACTGTTAGCTTTAGTCCTGATGGATCGCAACTTGCCACAGGATCCGGTAAGATCAGAATTGGATATCTTATATTGGATCAAGAAATATAGTATCCAACATACATGATTATTTCAGGTGATACGACTGTTCGAATATGGGATCTCAATACTGAAACACCTCATTTCACTTGCTCAGGTGAGGATTTGAAGTAATTATTTTTTTTCAAAATGATAAACTTAGTTATGTATATGAAATTTAGGTCATACGAGCTGGGTTTTATATATAGCATGGTCACCCGATGGAAAATATTTGGCATCTGGTAGCATGGATAATACGGTAGGTAATATATTTTTCATTTATGATATTCATTGAAATATGATGATGCTAATGATTATAAAATATGTTAGGTTCGTTTATGGGATCCATTAACGGGCAAATCTATGGGTGATGCGTTAAAGGGACACAATAAATGGATTACGTGTCTGGCGTGGGAACCTCTGCATTTGTATGTCATTCAGCCTTCAGCTTTATTATTTCTGAACATGAGTCATTCCTATGGTCCGAATCGTTTTACATCTAAATGACCGAGCCCGAAATTCCCTATCGATGATAATCGATTAATCTGTGGCTAAATGGTTGTCATAGAATAACACTGACTTGAATCATTAATATGTCCAGTTTAATATCAATTTGATAATCTCCCTCGTAGAAATCCAAAATGCAATCGAGTAGCATCATCGTCAAAAGATGGTACCGTCCGTGTTTGGGATGTTATTCACCGTCGTCTTTTATTTTCCATATCTCAACACACAGCAGCAGTAACGTGTATAAAATGGGGAGGAGATGGTCTACTATATTCTTCTAGTCAAGATAAATCTATTAAAGTGTGGGACGCTTCGGAGGTAGTAAATTACCATTTCTTGTTGAGTTGATTATCTTATTTCAATCCATTAATTAATTATATCGTTGTTGATTAAAGGGTAAATTAGTTAGAAATTTATCAGGTCATGGACATTGGGTCAATACAATGGCGTTGAGCACAGATTTTGTGCTGAGAACAGGAGCAATCGATCATACTGGTAAAATACCACAGAGTGAAGCAGAAGCAAAAGAATGGGCTTTGGCTCGATACAATTCCATGATAAACAATAAACCAGAACGTCTTGTGTCTGGATCAGATGATTTTACATTGTTTCTATGGGAACCATCTGTCAGTAAGAAACCTATCGCACGATTAACAGGACATCAAAAGCTGATTAATCATGTTTGTTTTTCTCCGGATGGTCGATTGATTGCTAGCGCAAGTTTTGATAATTCAGTTAAACTCTGGGATGCAAGTACCGGAAAATTCATCGCTTCTTTAAGAGGCCATGTTGGTCCGGTATATCAAGTGTGTTGGTCGTCTGATAGTCGAATGCTAATCAGTGCCAGCAAAGATAGCACATTAAAAATATGGGATCTAAAAGCGAATAAAATAAAATTGAATTTACCTGGACATCTGGACGAGGTTAGTTCACCCGTTGGTTATTCTTTCTCGTGGATAGAAAATAAAAACATCTTGAAAACTATTTCTTAGGTGTTTAGCGTTGATTGGAGTCCTGGAGGTGATAAAGTTGTCAGTGGTGGCAAGGATCGTCAACTCAAAATGTGAGCATTATTTAATATTGCATCATCATTCGAGTTGAAGGATAATCATTTTTAATTGTAATTTTTATTTATTTTTAGATGGCGGCATTGATAAAATCTGATGAATTGAATTGATGGGAATGCGTTCATATAATTATTTTTATTGCATGATAGTTTATATTAGGTAAGTGTCAGTCAACAATAGAATCCTATATACAAAAAATAAAAGAAAATCCTATAGAAACAGCCGATCTACTTGCTTAACCTTCCGTTCCAAAAAACCTTTAAAACAACAATATATATATGCACGTTCTTTTTGTGTGTAATTAATGAAAAATAATGATGATTAAAAGGACAAAAAATACAACAAACATATTATATATATTTTTATATACCAAAAAAAATATTAGAATAAGGTAGATGATGGGAATGAAAACGGTAAAAGGGTAAAAGGCATCATGTCGATTACTTTTATTAGCATTATTATAATGTAAAGAATATACAAATGAGAACACAAATGTAATTTCGTAATTCTGATTCCAAAATTGTGAAAGCTATTATTCATAAATAATAATTGATCAATGGCAAGGTTCCATTATCCAAATTTTAACTGTCGTACATTAAGAAGAGGGAAAAAATGTGAACCAAACGTTTTTTTCATTTCGATTGAGTCTTTGGGCTGGTGCTTAATGTTGTAACGCCTTCTTCCAATTCTCTTGCATCTTTTGGCCATACACCCACCAATCTAATCACACTTCCCCATGCTAAATCCAGCACCCATCTTGGTAAAATATTATGTACCAAAACTTGCATTTTCGCCACTGTTCCAATAACATATCGATCCTTTGGAAAACCAACCTCAACTGCCTCCACCACATTACGCACCACCTCTTTTGGACTATCTTGACCATCATGAAGCTTCTGCCAAAACTCTATTGCTTTCTGAATATATTCTTCGCCGTATAAGTTTAGTGTCTGTTCTGTGGTTTCTGGTGATGCAAAAAATTTTCTTGATAACTCCACAAGATCAGGATGAGTGAGACGTGACTTTATTGGACCGGGTTCAATCATTACAATATGGATTTTCCAGGGTAATAACTCCACGCGAATTGTATCTAACATTGCCTCCAATGCATGTTTTGATGCACTGAATGCCCCGTAAAATGGAACGGTTGTCCTTCCAAGTACTGAAGTGATATTTACTATACGTGGGGAGATGTCTTGCTGCTTTGATGGCTTTTTCATATTGTATTTGATATTCTGTCGTAGATTTGGTAAAAGAGCTTTTATCATTCGAATCGGTCCCATGAAATTCACCTCCATCGTTTTTCCAATTTGATTTGTTGAAGTGAACTCGAATGCAAATCCTTCATTGCATCCGGCATTATTGATCAACGCAAAGAGTCCGTTTTCTTTTGTTTCAGTGGTGACCATGCGTGCACATTGTTGAATCGATGCGTCTTTTGATACGTCAAGCAAAAATGGACGAAAAGTTGGCGAGGAATTATTTGCAAGAAATTCTTTAAATGCTGCTTCAGTCAAACACCCTATCAACAAACGATTAAAAATTATTGGATAATGACAATAAAGATAATGACGAATTAATAGCAACACGATTCTCCAATCATATCAAATGACATCAAAGTGTGCGACTACGCACTTTGATAAAAATTTCAGAAATATCAAATAACAAGTAATATTTGATTTCACCTGCAAGAACATGATATCCCCTTGTGTGTAAAGCTTTTGCGATTAAATTTCCTATACCAGTGTCACAGCCGGTTACGAGAACAAAACGATCGGCAAACTTTTGATTCGGAGGCGGCGAAGCGAAAAACGTGCCAATATAAGACATGATACCCATTATTTTACAGTGTATGCGTTTGTTTTTAATATAAATTTTATTTTTTTGGTATGATATTTAATAGAGTACATGTAAATAGAGTTCTTTTTAAATCTTTGGTGAGAATGTCAAGATGTACCACGCATATAAGATATGCAATACATATGATGGAAAAAATCGATGTAGCATACGTGCACGTGGAGTTTTCCACTTATGGAACAATAGCATATATCGATATATTTACTTCCGACAAACGATTTTCACGTGACCGTTTATGAAAATTATATCACCGGTGGCGTTTTTTAGAATCTTATGACTATTGTGAAAAAGACATTGTTACATCATTCCTTACTGCTCACCCGCCACCATTCTAATAAATTTCTATATCGAATGACAACATTGTTTATACATGACATCCATCACTCTTCTGCATTTTTCCTCGGTCGTACATCATTTCGAATAGGAATTTTTAGGCCTTGTTTTGCAAAGGCTTTGGATAGATCAGTGGATTCTGTGCAATACCAAAAAATGAAAAATCAAAACTTATTTGACTCATCCATTCACCCAATCAAATAAACAGTTACCTGTCATCCCTGGAAATTTTTTAGCCGAAAATACAGTGAATTGATCCGAGAAGGCAGTTGTAATCACAGTACTCTTGTTATCAATTAAGCGATCCTCACTGAGTTCGCCCAACACGAAAATAAAATAAAGAAAATGATTAATTTCTTTTTCAAAATATACATCAAAGGTAAAGATAGTAATTAATTAATTAATTAATTAATTAATTACAGAAATTAAGAGAAAGATCATACGAACATTCCCAATTTCAATAACGAGAATTTTAAAGTATAAGTTCCCTCTGTTCGTATGGAAAGATCCGGAAAACAAAAATAACATCCTTGTTCTCCTTCGGTATTTTTCAGTAAAGCAGGAGATGATACTAATGAACCCATGAGGACACGTGTCGTTTTTGGTGGATTACTAATTACATTTCGCTCATGCCTTCGATCCTCCGACCAAAGTGTGACGTGAAGAACAAAGAATGGATTTTGTAACATGCTTTTAATGATAATGAAAAAAATACACGATCATTAATTAACTGCATCAAATGGTTGATTTTACGCGTTTTTGAATTAATAGCGCGCGATTACTCGTCATATTCGAATAAATAATACCTTGGATCAGGATTCCCTTTTTCATCCAACACCACAAGTTGTACTATTGGAGGGGGATCCACCGGTCGTCTATCCTTTTCACCGAAGCCACACATTCGAGCTCTTAAAGGCTGCTGGCATACCGCAAGATTGTATGTTCTATATGAAAAAACTTTATTAATGAAGATAACCAAAAAAAATGTCACATGCACTTGAACTTTATTTTACAAAGAAACTTTCTATATATACACTTTTACAAGAAATACACCGTCTAAAGTCATATTTGTGTTGGGTCTTGAGCCTTATGACACGTCTATAAATACATCATCCTCTTTAAATGCTCAATCCCCAGTGAATGTGAATTTATGGATATTTCTTTGTATTAAATTCATTGTTCTTTACCTTTTATCTTCTTCTGTGGGAGGTGCATCATAAGCAAATCGCTCTTTTTGGTATTTTGATTTTTGCGAATTTGAACTTGTGCTATTCTTTGAAATTTTTATTTTATCTCCCTCTCCTGGTGTACCACTGTTAATTTGTGGTGCTCTATAATGGTGCATCAGTAATGGTGGGCCCATTGCCCCATGGTGATAAGGTAGATAATGTTGATATTCATAATAGGGGTGCATTGATGGTGCCAGGTTTGGTGGTATCGGTCGATAATAACCTTCTGGAGGTGGGTATTCACCACGCATCGTAGAGTGATACTCACCTTGACCAGGAGGGGGAGAACCTTGAAGGTGTGGTGGCAGACTTCCGTGTGGTTGGCTATACATTTTCAGCGTTTATCTTATTCAAAATTATCAAAACTAATAAATATATCAACGAAAAATAGTGTTTCTTTAAATTAATAATAGCTCGATATGGAGAGGAAGAAACACGGTCAAATTATATAAACAATCATGTGAGTCTAACTATGAGAAGACAACCCGATATTGGGAGAATTAACGACAGGTATTACCTGCTTTTTCAATCGATAGATAAGAGATAAGGAAACTTGGGGTAGAACCAATTATTAAAGTTATATTTTGTGATGGTTTCTCGTAACACAAATTAAATTGACCAGTTTTTTGGCGTTAAAGGGATCAGGGGCTGGTTCCATTTTTCCGATTTATCGGTTTCTATAATCGTATAACGCGCGTTTTGCCCTCTTCCATATACCGATACGGAGAAAAATGAATTCTTCACCTCTGTTGCAATCAATTATGTCACGCATATTCCATACGAATGTAGAGTCGCGTCGTCGTCGTCGTCGTCGTCGTACTCAGTGTCGCTAAATGTTAACTTTTGTTTAAAGTATATCGTAATTATAAAAGCCTTTTATTGTTTTAGAAAAAGCAACTTTTTATCCTGTTTGTAGAATGAATGAGCGCCCCTTTTTTCTCTTCTTTAATGCAAGAAGGTAATGTATGATAATAATTAAAATTTAATAATCTGTTCTTTAATATAATATTATCGTTATGCTTGCATCTTTATTATTACGAAAACAAATCCGTAAATCATGACATTTCTTTTCTCTGAAACATGAATGTAACTTGCCGCAGTGCAACACAAATTTATCAAAAATAGTTGACTAACAATTTCAGGCTACACGTAATTGTGGTAGATTTTCTCAAAAATTACTGTTTTCAAATTTTGGACTATTTACCAAAATTGATCATAGACTCAAAATTAAACTCAGCTCGATTTTCCCTTCACGTAATTTTATGATCTGATTTTCCCAGTCACAACAATTACCCGAAACATTCCACACTATAAAAGGTTAAAATTGGTTTCCGTCATTTTTTATTAGCGCTACGTTAATTTTTTTGCGCGGTTTCGAGATCGTTAGGGATCGGAACAATCACGTGAAGGAAAAATCGATCGTGGACGAACTGGAGTAGTTAGTCAAATCCCCCATTTTCCGCATCCGGAAAAATCCGATCACCGACGAAACCTATCAAAACGCAAATTCAAAACACGATTATTTTTGAAAATAGCTTGTATTCAGCGTTGTCACTTTACTATGTCCAGTAACCAGAAATTACTGGATTGGACCATATTGAACTTATAGAATTACTAAGTCCAGTGGTTCAGTGACGCAGTATTGAACTATGTTTAGTATGGTCCAGTTAACAACATTACTTGTATCTCGAAATTTTGCTTATGTAACAACCATTTTTTGTTCTAACAAAAATCTGTTTCTTGCGAAATTCTACTATAATTTGTGTATTTGCTTGTTGTTTAAACCTAATTCTAACGCTAATGAAATAATAATATTATAATTAAAGTTTCAGTGTCACCAATGATCGAGGGCGCAGTCACATGATCTTTGAAATAATCACGTGATAGACGAGATATCAATTAGTGTATATTTTTGATCAGTTCAGCAAAACAAAAAATGAAAAAAGTAAAAAATATAAATTTAGCATGATATACTAATTGAAAATGTTAAAAAGATAAATTAATATTTTTTATATTTTTTAATTTTATTGAACTATTATATTTTATATTTGGATTTTTGTAATTTATCGCCATAATAATGTATTGTAGGATCCCAAATTTAATAGTAACAGGGACCAAAAATATAAACTTAAACTTTTTTGAATTCATAATTCTAATACTATTCTCTTAATAAATGGGAAACATTATATATGCAATAAATTATAATTCTCTTTATATTTTATTAAATAAAATATTTTTTAAATATCAGTTCAAATATTAATTTAAATATTAATTTGAAAATTATTGAAATATTAATTTAGCTATTAATTTTATTGATAATTTAATATTTATCATTTATCTATAAAAAATCATGTATTTAATATAAAAAATTATTAAGTTCTTTAATTATTAAGTTCTTTAATAATTTAGTTTTTTGATAATTAAATTTTTTAATTATTAAGTTTTTTGAAAATATTAACAAACAAATATAATATTAAAAAATTTTTTTAATTATTTTAATTAAATATTATTTAGATTTGTCAATAATAAGTTAATTTTTTCTAAATTAATCTTTATTTTTATCAGTTTTATTATTTATTTATAATTTCTTATTTTAATTATAAAATTATTACTTTATAATCTTTTTGTTATTATATTATTATTATTATTTTAGTTAAATTTAAAATATTTATATATTATTTATGTAATTTTATTAAATTTAAAATAAAAGTCTTAGATTTATACCTAAAAGATAAATAATAAGTATTTTTTAGATTATTTAAAATTCAAAATAAATTTACAGATAAATAAATTCTTACTTAAAATAAGTAATTTTTTTTAATTAATTTCAAAAAAAATTTTATTTTTATAAGCAAAATTATATTTTAGTATTTTTTTAAATAGTTAAAATTTTAATCTTATAAATAAATTCTATTATATTTTATTAATAAATTACTTAATTTTTAATTTATAATTAAAAATATTATAAAGATTTATTGTTTTAAATTATAACTTTTCAAGTTATATTTGATATTTTTAACAAAATAAATATCTTAAACTGTTTTTTTATAAATTTGTTTTGTATTTTAAATAGATAAAAGTTAATAAATAAAATATATCTAAATAAATATATTATTTAAATTAAATAATATTTATTATAATATAAAACTTAATAAAAAAAATTTATTTATTAAACCTAAAATAAAAAATCAAGTTTTTATTCTTCAATTTATTATAAAATTATTATGAAATAATTAGTTCTAAAATAATTTTTTATTAAAAGAAAAATATAAACTTTTAAAAAATTTACTTGAGAGAAAAAGAGTTAATTTTCAAGCAAATTTTTGCTAAAATAACTTGAAATTAAAAATTTATTAATTTGAAACTAAAATATATATTATATTTTATAATATTAATTTTATTATTAATTTTATAAATTAAAATTTTTAAGTTTATTAATTATATTAATTTTGTTAATATAATTATTATTATTAATATTATTTATATTATTATATAATTATTAATTTTATTAATATAATAAAGAATTAATAATAAAGTATTAAATAATTATTTAATAAAATATAATTAATTTAAAAATAGATTTTTAAAATATTTTAAAGAAATATAATTATAGTTTAAACTAGTTTTTGTTATATATCTAAATTATATTATCAATTTTGAAATATATTTTTAAACTAATTATTATTCAATAAAATTATCCAATCAAATTATTCATCAAATTTTATATTGTTATAAGTTGAATTTTATTAATTAAAAATATTATATTTTTATTGAATAATATTTTATTATAGTTTCATTAAATAATTGAGTTCTTATAATTAATTAAGTTATTATATTTTGATATTATTAATTAAATTATTTTTAGAAATTCAATTTAAATTTCAGTTTGAAATTTTTATTAAATTTTTATTTAAATTTCAATTAGAATTTTAATTCAAATTTTTATTCAAATTTTAGTTCAAAATTTTATTTAACTTTTAATTCTATTAATAATTTAATATTCATTAATTATATATATATATATAATATAGAGTAGCAATCAAAAAGAATGGAATGCTAAAACAAATTTATTAATAAAATATAGTAAAAATATGAAAAATATGAGTTTTTTTCTTTATATAAAAGTTTTCAATTTTACTAATAAATATTTTTTATTTTTATATTAAAATAAAGATAAT